CATATGGTTCTTGAATGACTCACGGATTTGGAAGTGATTTGGCTGATTTGGTTTGGGACCCAAAAAGTTTTCCTTCAAATAAGAAAAAGATCAAAAAAATCGGGGGCATCCAAAGCCCAAGCCTCGGGCTGGGGCCTGCACATAGGATGCCTGCCAAAAGATTTAGAAGTATCTGAAGCCCCAGGATGGAAAGTTTGGGGTGGACGATACTTGCCAGTTGGGGACCAGTCTGAGACAGGGGGTTTCAGGGACTCGATGCCTTGTGGATGGGTACGAGGGAGCGCCTTCCCAAGGGAGCATATATTGTAACAGGTGCGCAGGTTTTTCTCTGGTGGCTTAAGCAGGTAATGAACAGTGACTAGAAGGTGACCCAATATATATATATAGAACCCTTATATAAAACTTAGGCCTGTGCGAAGCGGCTAGCATTTGCTTCGGATTCGGATTCGGCCGATCCGGGCAGCAGGGACTCGATTGGGTGATTCGAATCACTGCCCCGAATCGAGTCGGCCACAGCCGATTCGGCAGCAGCCCCATCCCCTGCCCGCTCTCCCAGCCCCGCCTACCCCAGCTCCCGGCTCTTTGAAAAAGAAAAGCCCCCACTCACCGGGTGCTGCTGGAATGGGGCGGGGGGTGATTCCCACTGCCCCACGCCATGTCGGGCGGGGGGGGGACTCTGTAAAGCCCCCAGAAGCCCCGAGAATGCTGCAGGAGCCGGTGAGTCTGGGGGCAGGGGGTTTGGGGGGTTTTTTTGAAGGGCCAGAGCTGGGGCGGGGAGGGCAGCCATGGGGCCAGGGGGCTTGTGGCAGAGTCCCCTATGAACCATGGGGCAGTGGTGGGCAGCAGGGATCACCCTCTCCCCCCGCCCCGCCCGACAGCACCTGCTGAGTAGGGGCTTTTTGTAAACGGCTGGGAGCTGGGGCTGCCGGGGCAGCCATGTGGGGCTGGGGCTTGGCAGGGGTCTCCCCGTGGTCCCCCCTCCCCTCCTCCAGACCCCCTCCCCCGGTCCCTATTTACCAGCTCAGAGTCTGGGTCCAGCTCCTTGGACCGCCTGCATCACCCAAGCTCTGCGAATCTTTTCCAAATCAATTCAGAGAGCTCTGAATCGATTCGGACCTTCGAATTGCTCCCCTGATTCCATTCGGATTCAGAGATTCGGCCACCAAATCAGGCCCAATCGCCTCCGAATCGAATCAGCACCTGAAGCGTTGCATCAGCCCTAGGATATATATACATCACCTTTGAAAATATATGGGTGTCCGTGTCCGTGTGCGCGTGCGCGTGCGTATATATGACGACATTATATTTTGACAGAAAACCCCCCAAAACTCGCCAGTTGTAGGGCCACATATGGTTCCCGAAGAAGACAAAAGATTTCAAACTCATCTGGCCGATGTGGTTATCTGACCTAGGACACAAAATATTGTCCTTAAAAAAAATGTTTTAAAACGGAAGGTAGGAGCTGATCCTGGAGACACCGCGGCTGCAGGGCGCAGGCTGGAATGTCTCAGGAAGTTGCCCAGCTCCGTGCCCTCCGTGGAGTCCCAGAACCCACGGCAGGGCCTTGGCGCTGGCGGAAGCTGGGAGCCCTGGGCACTGGTGGAAGCTGTGAGCTGAGCGCTGCCAGGCACCGGAAAGGGCTTTGATGGCAGGCTGACGAAGCTAATGCCCTCTGCCCCCTCCAGCCCTGCTTCTCTGCCTGCAACATGGCATCTCCCTCCTGCCAGCCTTTGCAGGGCACAGCACATGCCTTTTCTCTGCCTTGTTCCCCTCCTAGAGCAGCAAGAGCCCCGCTGCCCTGCAAGCAGTGGCAGTTTGGTAGCAAACGGCAGCCTGGAGCCTGAGGCAGGCCAGCTGCCGCGGTGACACGGTTCTCCTCCGGGTGCTGCAAGGCTTAGTGGCGCAAACCAGTCCTGGGGGCCCCACGGGGCAGTTTGGGGCCAGAGCCTTGGGGAAGCTTATTTGCATACCCAGGATGCAATGCAGTGCATGAAGGAAAATTTGGGGGGTTCGCTTTTTTGAGGCTCCCCAAAGTCCTCCTCACGGCGTCACTCTGTGGTGCCTGCCCCGGGCCAAGCAGCGCTGCGTGGGGCCGCTGTAAGTGGGGCAAGGATTGGGGCCGCCTTGATTGCTCCTCTGCGGGTCCCCTGTATGCTCTGGTTTCTCTTCAAGTTGCATAAATCTTTCGCCTTTTACTAAAGATTTCCATGGATAGGAGCAGTTATGAGTCTCTACCCAATTTTTGAGGTCTTGCTTTGGTGGGGCTATCCTTGAGTGTGCGAGAACAGAGAGAAGCTGCTTTGGTTTTGTTGTTGGCCATGGGGCTCAGGCCTTGGTTACTTTGTAGCAGACTGGCAGCCATGGTTCCTTTCCCTGCTTGAGTGGAAGCGGCCCGGGTACAGCCACTTCCCCAAAGCACCCTGAGATGCGTCTCTTTACGGTAGTGCTGATAGTCCCCAAAAAGGGCCAAGAATGGCCGAAACCTCACAGGCCAAGATCTTATAATTTTGTTCCTTTGGGGTGAGCTTCTCAAAACAGGTCCTGCAGGGGTGTAGGGCCTGTTTTGGGCCCTGCCTTTGTGAGAGCACGGCATTTATCGTGATGCCCAGGGCAGGGGTGGGCAAAATCCGGGCTGGGGGCTGCGTGCGGCCCACCAGGGCATTCGGTTCGGCCCACGGGGCCCCCAAATCTGTTTTTTAATGAGTATTTATCTGCCCCTGTCTCCTGTCAGGGAGGAGCCATAGCCTGCAGGGTCCATGGGAAGCCACCCCTGTACCTTTGAACAGCAAGGCCCTTCTGTGCACCGCTCCAGACCACCCCCGTAGTTGGAAACCCCTGGCAGCATAGGCTTCTGGCTTCAGCCCCTAAATCAGGTCTAATCTTCTCCGAATCGAATCAGCAGCCTATGTGGGCTGAATTTCCTCTGAATGGAGTTAGCATCCAAAGCTCGGCATAGGCCTCATATATATATATATTTACACGCACACGCACACGCACACACACATATATAGGCCTAATACACACACACACGCGCGCGCGCGCGCGTACATATATATATGTATATATAACCTTTACATATACGTAATATATATAATGTAATTTTATATATATGTAAAGCAAGGTTTTGCAACCCCTGGCATGGTGGTAGGCATGGAAGTAAATCATTTTAATTTTTTTTTTAAGTTGCTGGTCTTGGCTCTCCCATTCAGCCACCATTGCCAGCAGCACAGGAGGCACCAGGGCGGAGCCAGAAAAACACAGACATGGTCTGAGTTCCACTGCCCCCGCGCCTTGCTCCCAGTCTCCACCCTGCAGCCTGGCTGGCCCCTGGAATGAGCTGCAGGTGGACAGGGTAGGGCTGGGATCCTATGGAGGATCGCTGCCCTGGAGGCTTCCAGTGGGTGGCAGATCCCTGGGTCCAGGAAGGCAGACACACTGTCCTACCCGGGGCAGTACTGGGGTGCTGAGTGCTGGAGCTAGGCAGTCAGGACAGGGTCTGGGCGTCTTGCGGGGAGGCAAGTCAGCCCTGTCGGGAACTTAGGAAGGCAGGGGCTGGCCAGGAAGTCGGGGCAGCCCCAGGGCTCTGCAGATTTGAGCTGTGGTGGGCGGGCAGGTGGGGGTGTCCATCAGCACCCGTGGGTGGGCCTGGCCTGCGCAGCTCCGTAGGGATGGGTCACAGCTACCCTGTGCATAAGGGGATGCTGCCTGGCTGAGGCAGGATGCCGGTCTCCCTGCACGCTGGGCACAGTACAAGTAGGGCAGAGCTGTCCCCGGTGCAAGGGCCTGGCCACAGGAGGCTTCTGGAACAGCTACTGTGGCTGTCTCAGCCTGCCTGCCTGAGTCCTGGCCTTGCCCACCCGCAGCACCTCTCAAGGGACCAGGGCTGGTGTAGGCACTGTACAGAGCTACTGTGCTGCAGGCTCCCGGCTGGCTCAGCCCTGAGCACCGGCTGCAAGGGCTGTTCCTAGAGTCCGGGCAACAGCCTGCAGCCGCAGTTCCCACTCGCTCTGTACTCAGCAAGCACAGAGACCAAGCAAGGAGCTACCCGAGGCCAGAGTCCTGCCCCAGCCAGCCATTGTCCCTTCATGGGCAGGGTGGCTGTGC